AATTTTTGCAGTTAAGTAGAGTAAGTTCCAGAACAGTAAATACCCATGAATGCAATTTTTCTGTTAACTCTTAAGATAATTTGTTGGGGCATGAGTGGTCTAGTGCTTATTCGGTGTTTTTTAAAATTTTTTTTTCATTTTTATTTTTTTATTTTATTTATTTATTATTTATTTATTTTTTATGATAGTCACACAGAGAGAGAGAGAGAGAGAAAGAGGCAGAGACATAGGCAGAGGGAGAAGCAGGCTCCATGCACCGGGAGCCTGACGTGGGATTCGATCCGGGGTCTCCAGAATCGCGCCCTGGGCCAAAGGCAGGCGCCAAACCGCTGCGCCACCCAGGGATCCCTTTTTTTTCATTTTTAAATAGATTTTATTTATTCATTTCAGAGAGAGAGAGAGAGAGAGAGAGAGAGAGAGAGAGAACACAAGTGGGAGGGAGAGGCAGAGGGAGAGGGAGAAGCAGACTCACTGCCAACCAGGAAGCCTGACCCAGGGCTCAATCCCAGGACCCTGAGATCATGACCTGAGCTGAAGGCAGACGCCTAACTGAGCCACCCAGGTGCTCCTAAAGTTTTGTTTGTGGAACACCTACATTATACTCGCTTGGAATTTTATTAAAAATGAAGATTTCTGGGTCCCACCCCTAGTCATCCTGAATCAGAATCTGAGGGGAATATCTAGGAATTCACATTTTAAATAGGCTCTCCAGGTAAATCTTTACACTTTACAATTTAAGAACTTGAGATCATACAACTTGTATATGAAGAAGATAGTACAGGATCTAGTAGTTTGGACAGATTGGTCATTTTATTTCCATCTCATTGTGCTTCGACTTCCAAACTATATTTGTATTATCTCTATATTGTATGTCTACATATCGTTCAATCTGATTTTGTATGTTTTTTGTACTTTAGGTGGTAGTCTGAACATTTTTGAAGTATATTAGAAACCCAAAGTTGGCACAAGTGCTGATTTTGCCACAGCTACTATTATATCCTCAGGGAAATAAAAAACCTCTTTGGGACTTTTCTTCACTTACACAATAAAAGAGGTTGGATTAGAATTTATTTATCCATAAGGTCTTTTCCAGATCCGATATGCTAGAACTCTGTGAACATAAAAGTTGTTTAGAAACTATCCATTTTTTTCAAAGATTTTATTTATTTGAAGGTGAGAGAGCGAGAGAGAGAGAGAGCATGAGTAGGAGGGGCAGAGGGAGAGGAAAATCTCAAGCAGACTCCTTGCTGAGTGTGGAGCCCAGTGTGGAGCTTGATCTCATGACCCTGAGATCCTGACCTGAGCCGAAATCAAGAGTTGGACACTTAACCAACAGATCCACTGAGGCGCCCCTAGAAACTGTCAATTTTTAATCTTTCCTTCCTTCATGTTATATTTGTGTCTATTGTCCAAAATAGAAATATTGGACTCATCTCTTGGTCCAGGTCATACCACTCACTATGTTACCTTTATTCTTACATTGTTATGGTGATACCATTTCTAGCCCTAAGTTTTTGTTTTCCCTTATCCTAAAGAAATACATTTAATATGACTGGATTTTTTGGATTACTTGTTTCTATCTGAATATTAAGTACCCTAATGAATATTAAGTGTCTTGGCAATGTTACATGATCAATATTAATAAATGCATAGAGAAGGGAACCGTTCATCTCTCAACCAAGGAACATTTCAAATTTCTCTGTAGGATTGAACAACGGTTATGGCAAATCCACCATTGAAAAATGAGAAAGCAGGGAAGCCCAGGTGGCTCAGCGGTTTAGTGCAGCCTTCGGCCCAGGGCATGATCCTGGAGACCTGGGACCGAGTTCCACGTTGGGCTCCCTGCATGGAGCCTGCTTCTCCCTCTGCCTCTGTGTGTGTGTGTGTGTGTGTGTGTGTGTCTCATGAATAAATAAATAAAATCTTAAAAAAAAGAAAGATGAGAAAGCACAGAGCTGTGTTCTAATAGAATGCAGGCAACCTTTGATTATTCATAGCAACTTCCAATTCTGAGCCAGGTGGCTCTAAATTGGTGTGTGTTCAAAAGGAATAAAAATTAATTTTAATATTAGCCCAAGCCAAGTAAAAGTAACTGATATTTGTTATTACAAAATCACTTGATGGCTAAAGTCAAATATGCCTAGGACCATATGACAGCAAAGATACATGAAAGACATCTACATTTTCTTTGGTTTCTAAGAAATTGCTCTTGTGATTTTGAGGGGGGAGGGGAAGAATTTTGAGTTAAATTTTTTTCCTTTCAGTGAGAATTTGTTAAGAACTGGACAATTAAAATTGGGGAATATGCCCCAATCTATATTTTAATATTATCTCTGAAGTTTAAATAGACTATATCTGTGCCCAATCTCACCTGTCATCTAGCTGGTCTCCTTGCTTTTACTCCTGCCTCCTACATTAGTAGTAGTAGTATACAGGTTGGACTGCTGGTCAGAGACCCCAACTAGTGATGACATAAACAAGATGGTTTATTTTTCTCTCATGTAATAGCCAAAAAACAGGTAAGAAGTACAGAACTGGTATGGCAGCCCCACAAAATCAGGAACCTCGGCTCCTACTAGCTGATTGGGTTGACATCCCTAGAATGTTGCTCTTCCTCTGCAAGATACAAGATGTATCACCATGCTCACATTTTAGCCAAAGGGAAGCGGGGGAAAGGGAAAGAGAGCATTCCCTTACAACCTTTGAGGAATTGGTTCAGTAATCGTACAAATCACTTATGCTCACTTCTGAACTTAGAACTTAGTCACAGGCCATATCTAGCAACAAAAGAACCAGGGGAAAGTATTTGTTAGGGTAGGTAGCCATGTGCCCAGCTAAAAACGACAGATCTATTACTATAGAAGAGAAGAATAGTTATTAGGATCCAACTGTCTCTGGTGACCTGTTTATATCCATTCTCCTTCCAGGAGACAGTGACCATTCTAAAACATAAATTGAATCACGGCATATATTGGCCACAGACCACTTAAGGGCTTCCCAGTGCTCTGAAAATACCAACTAAAATTCTTACTATGGCCTACAAGGCTCTGCATAGCCTGCAAGAGCCTTGGTCTATTTGCTTGTCTTATCTTGTGTCCCACTTTCTGCGCTCCAGCCATATCTGTTCTCATTCAAGTCCTCAAACACACATTCACTTTCTCAGGAGAAACTTTCCCAACCTGGCTTCCTTTGTTAAAAAGCTCTATAAATTTTTTTTTTAATTTTTTAATGATAGTCACAGAGAGCGAGAGAGAGAGAGGCAGAGACACAGGCAGAGGGAGAAGCAGGCTCCATGCACTGGGAGCCCGATGTGGGATTCGATCCCGGGTCTCCAGGATCGCGCCCTGGGACAAAGGCAGGCGCCAAACCGCTGCGCCACCCAGGGATCCCTGTTAAAAAGCTCTAATAGCAGAAATCTTGCCTTTGCAGCACTGAGTTCATGTATTTGTGCAATCATTTGACTGCTTCTCTCCTCCATGACACTGTAAGGTCCACGAGGGTAGGGGCCATGCGTTTTTGCTTGTATTATGGTGTGTTCCTATTGCTAACCTTGTCACAGAGTGGGCATTCAAATACTTGGATGTATGTCGCAATAGTCTGGTTTATTATTTTACGAGCTCCAGGATTTGGAGAAGTTTATCTCACAGTGAAACACTACATGTAGTGATACACTACATGAAAGTTTACTCTTATTCAAACATTTTACTTTGTGCGCAAGTTAAAGAAACAGTTTGGAGTTATAAGCTTAACCTTCTAATTTAGTTGCTTTGACAATCTGACATTAAATAATTTAGTCAAAAAAAATAAATAATTTAGTCTTTTTCTGTTTTAGTTCTCCATCTACAAAATGGATATTAAAACTCTGTTGGGTTTTTTTTAGTATTTTATTTATTTATTCATAAGAGACAGAGAGAGAGAGAGAGGCAGAGATACAGGCAGAGGGAGAAGCAGGCCCCACGCAGGGAGCCCGCTGTGGGACTCGATCCCGGGTCTCCAGGATCACACCCTGGGCTAAAGGCGGCACTAAACCTCTGAGCCACCAGGGCTGCCCCGATTCTTTCTTTAATAGCTTACCAAAGAATTTCAATGTGTATATCTCATGTGCAATCTAAACTTCGAGACTGTGGTCCTCCAGGAGGTTATATTTTATAATTTACTAATTGATTCGTTAATTTGAAGGTAGTATCGCAGTAATATATTTGTGTGGCTTTGGAATTAATGAACACATTTTGTCACTTGAAGGTAAGTTCTTCTGATGGTAATTTGGCATTTTTCTTAGGAAACTGCTACCATAGCTATCCAATTTTACAACAGTCAGAAATGTGGACACAGATTTGTAACTCCAAATTTAGATAGAAAAGCTTCTAGAATATGAACTAAATTGCCGGGGAAGTTGTTTCTAAAGATCCTAAATTTAAAACATAGTTCATATTTCTCATTTAATATGAGAACAGAAATTACACTTGTTAAAGTGTAGCTTTTGGGCAGCCCGGTGGCTCAGTGGTTTAGTGCTGCCTTCAGCCCAGGGCATGATCCTGGAGACCCGGGATCGAGTCCCATGTCGGGCTCCCTACATGGAGCCTGCTTCTCCCTCTGCCTGTGTCTCTACCTCTGTCTCTCTCTCTTTCTGTGTCTCTCATGAATAAATAAATAAAATCTTTTTTAAAAAAGTGAGTAGCTTTGAAACCTGAGCCTGAGGTTTTTAGTCAATAGCCAAAAAATTTCATAATTTTTCCCTTCCCTAACATTTACACGTCTGCAAAATTGTATTGTCTTTTAAAGTTTATAATAGCTCAATACAGAAACCCAGATTCCATTTGATAAATAAGTCTTCAATTCATATGAAAGAATCATACTGGCTCATTTAGCAAGAATATGTAGGTCCAAAATACGGAAGAGAGACATCAAATACATTCAAAATGAAACAAGAGACCAAAAAAGTTATTGTCTTTTAACTTTAATAATACACTCAAAATTTTAACACAAGAAGGATTCACTATTTTAATTAACATTTAAACACAATTATAAGGAACAAAAGGCTGAATGCACTTATGAACAAAGTGTAGCATGTGTCTTTTGATTCACGAACTGCCCAAAACATTTAAAATATATAGCATATGAAGTCACAGAACCATAGGGCTAGAAGAAAACCCCACAAGATAATTGCTTAACTAGATTCAGATTGATCTTGACACTGAATACTTTTTTAAGTCACGTGATGGTCATTTTGGTCATCTAAACACAGAGATGTCAATCACAGGGCTTTGCAAATGTGGAATGGTGATTTACAGTTTAAAATGAAGTACAATAGATCACCAGAATAAAACTCCCTTAGTCACTGTTTTATATTTTCAATATACACACTTAAAATGTTAATATGAGATGAAATTTCACTATTTAAACTCACATTACATGTACCCAAACTACAAATGAAGACAGAAAAAATAGGTACCTACTGTAGCCTCTGGCTTTAAGATCACACACTGGTCAAAACATTTAGAAATTCAAAGGATAATAAGTCACAATAAAGAGTGGAAAGCCTTAAGACCATTTAACACACTCATTGTACAGCTGACCAAACTAAGGACCAAGGCAACTGGACCATAACAATCCATGTGTGCTTTTTGAAAATGACAGTAACCACCATAGCCATGAGAAATGCAGGTTGACCACTTTAGGAGAATTTAATCTTCAAATTAGCAATTCAGAATTTCCCACTATAGGTGAATAAAAGGAGAAGGATGTTAAATGTTCAGAAGTTACTCTTGTAAGTCAGGATGCCTTATGCTGAGGCTTTAGAATAAAAACACTTCACAAATAGAATAGTGAACACAAATTATTACAAGTCAAGATAATAGTTAAATAGAAGTTAGGTAAATTTTCTTGATACACAAAAATTGTTTTGATGAACTTTTCAGTAATGAATTTAAAATGAAATGCATTAGCTCCAAACACAAGGTAAACATAAGACCACTTGATAACTTTAGAGCTTATGCAATATTCTTGCTGAAAAGCGGTTACTGAAATTACCAACCAAATGACAGATTACCTTTAAAGCAGCGCCTTCCTTATAACCTGCAATCATTTCATTTGCCAATTTTTAAGAAGTATTAGTTGGACTATAAATCCTGTGCAGGTAGACTTCCACTTTGTTGTTACCTAAATTACAGATATCCAAGATACCGACGATATGCACTCTATCCAGTTTCATTGCAGCTTTTATAATATCACCTAAAAGTAAAAAGCAAAAAGTATTGTAAAATAAACATTTACTTGGATTTAGTATCACATAAGCTGATTTTTTTTCCTTATAACATTAACAATGTCCCTCATCTTTTCCTTCTCCCCTTCAATTTATCACACATTCATCAAAGCTACGTTATGGTAACTTCTGCCCATAACAAAGAATATATCAAACAGATGCTACTATTAATGTGAAGATATGGGCTGGTATTCCAAAGCCATATTTAGTTATTTCTACTTTTTAATCTTCTTGGCAGAGTAAAGTAAGTCTATGTATTTTCAAGGTTATTTATATGGTGTCAAGTGAACAACTTATTGGTACACTTCAAGGAAGTACTAAAATCATTTCTTTCAAAGTCAATGATCAATTCTTTAGAAGACATACAAGACGTAAAGCAAAATACATATATGGAACTGAAATTTTTTTCAAAGTATATTTCCTTTGAGAGAGCTTTATTAACTAACAGTTAGCTTTGAATACTCTCAAGAAGCTTTATCAAAAATGGATCAGGTGAGGGACACTACTGTGAATGGTGGTGTAGGTAGTTTCAGGGCTGTGCCCCTCCACTAAAGCAATTCATAGGTTGACAAAAACTCTTAGATCAACTTATGCAGACTCTGGGATCTAGACAAAAACTGAAAATAGTTGGGAAAGATTAATAAAGAAAGAGATGCTGCACTATGGTAGGGATGTGCTATGGTATTTTAAATTGCCCATCTACTCCCTCCCTATATCAGCAGCAGCCATGATGATGGCAGCTCACGCTCCTGGTGCAGGTTGCTAGGACCAGATGGTGTGATGCAGAACTTATTCTCAAAGATGTGGTTGTGAGTTCTGACCTGTTAGGCAGTTCCCTCAAGGGCAGATGCAAGGGACTGCTTTTAGTTTCCCTGATTTGGAGCATTTCCACGATGGGGGTAGCTTCCCCAGTGACTTTTGTTGAAAGCATATGAAGGCAAAAACATTAGCCAGAGCAGCTGGGGCAAAGTATAAAGTTGGGACAAGCAATAAGCAGAACAAAAAGCCTGGTGGGGGGAGGAGGTTGGGAAAAGACACATGGAGGGGGATAAGGGCCTTTTAAAAGCTCCTATGTACACTAGGACACCAAGGCTACATGTAGGGACGCCCCTCTCTCTGCTCATTCTTTTCTCTCTCTCTCTCTCTCTCTCTCTCTCTCTCTCTTTCAAATAAATAAATGAAATCTTAAAAAAAAAGGCTAGATGTATGCCCAGTGCTGGACGCATGCTCAGAAAAAGCCTGAGAATAATTGTTCACCTCTGGCTGACCATCAGGGTTTGCAGAGCAGGAAGTGAAAGCTAAAACAGGGTGGTAAACAGCCTGGGTAAGCACTGAACGAGTGCCACGACACAAATCCAACCGCAAAAACTGGAGATCATTTTTGTCCTTGCTTTCCTTTTCTCACCTCCAGGTGTTTAAAGAAACTCATCCAAAGCACTAAGTGACCACTGCTAACAGATCATAGGTTTCAGTGGCTATACATGACAAAGACTTCATTTTCAAAATGAAAACCTTTAGAGGTTAAATAACTTAGACAAAGTCACATGGTATGTATGCTAGGGCTACCTCTCTATACAACTGTAACCTAAAAGCTAGTGGTAGATTTAGGTTTTCTGGGGCCTGAAAGGCGTACTATTTAGAAACCCCTTTTATGAAAAAGAATATAAATACAAAACAGTAACAAAATACAAAACAAGTGAGGGTCTCTCAAGCTTAGTCTTCATTAGTTTCACAATTAAAGCCACCTCTGCTAGGCATGTCACGAAATCTGATGAATGATTTAAAACTGTGCAAGTCACTAATGCAACAACAAATCCAGAAAATAACTATATAGCTTTCTCCTTTCAATGGGATGGACTTTAGATACTTTGGAAAGATTTTGAGATATTTAGCTTTGATGCAAACAGCAACAACCCAAACCTTAATAATTCTAATTGTTACCATATATTGACTTTTACAAATAGTGACTTATGGAGTGCCTACAAGATAAAGTATAAATAGATTTACTGTTTATGTAAGTGATTCTGCCTACTTGTATTAATGCTTTGGGCAAATGACAACCTCTCAATCTGCTCATCTGGTCCTACATCAGAGAATGTTGTGAGGATTAAATACTTAGGGTGTTAGAGCATTTAGAATGGTGGCTGACACACAGCAAGGACTCAGGTATTAGAAATAATCATTTTCTACCTAAGAAAACCTAGTATGACATTAAAATGTTATCATTTACATCACATAGGGATTCTTTTAAAAGGACTATAGATTTTTACCTATAAAATGAGCTTCTCTACATTTCACTTTCAATTGTTTGAACTGTTTACAAAACTGCACATTTTAAGAAATGTCACAGATGCATACAGTGAGTATGACAAAGGCAATGCTATGTGTTTTCCACTCCATTTCCTCATGGTTACAGGGGAAGATAAAGTGTCCTGGCATCTCTTATAGCTAGGTTGGGATCATGTAAGTGAGTTCTGGCAATGAGAATGTGAGTAGAAATGATGAGTCACTTCCAGTCCAACATAATTACAAGCTAGTGCTTCCTTCATCTCTTCCTTCCTCTGCCTAGATAGCCCTATAAGCCACTTGTTCCTGCTGAAGCTGCAACAAAATGGAAGCAGGCTTCATTCTTGAATCACTGCTGAGAAGAAAGCTAACTATTGATCAGACTTAATTTGAGCGAGAAATAAACATTTATTTTGTCATTATTTTTGCAGGCAGAAATATCACACTGTGTTACAAGATAGGTTAGATGGTGCCACAGTTACAAAGCCACTTCAAAGTCTCAGTGACTTTAACACAATAAATGTTAATGCTTCTAAAGTGTTTATCAATGGAGATGGTAACTCAATGTATTCAAAGAGGAGGAAGGTGTGTGTGTGTGTGTGTGTGTGTGTGTGTTCCTGTAGTTCATAGTTAGAGATGATATCCAATTAAGACATCATATCAGTAAGTATTAGTCAATAAGTGATTTGGGAAATACCGCTAACCACTTGAAAAAATTAAAACTGGGTCTATTCCTCAAGTTGCATACCAAAATAAATTCCAAATAGATTAAAATTTTCAACTGTGAAAATGAACCCATATTAACATCAAAACACCAAACAACCCAGTTTAAAATGGGCAAAAGACTTGAATATATATTTTTTCAAAGAAGATATACAAATGGCCAATGAGCACATGAAAAGATGCCCAACATCACTAGGGAAATACAAATCAGAACCAAAATGAGATACCACTTCAGGATGGCTGGTTTATTAAGAAAAAAAAAAAGCCAAAAACAAAAACCCCAGAAAATAACAAGTATTGGTGAGAATGTGGAGAAACTGGGTCCTCGTGCATTGCTGGTGGGAATGTAAAATGGTTTAGATGCTGTGAAAAATGGTTTGGTAGTTGTTCAAAAAGTTAAATTCAGAATTACCATATGACTCAGCAATTCCACTTCTAGGTATATTTCCAAAAGAATTGAAAGCAAGGACTCGGACACTCGTACACCAATATTCATAGCAGAATTACTCACAATAGCCAAGAGGTAGAAACAATCCAAATGTCCATCAACAGATGAATGGATACACAAAATGTGGTATATACATACAATGAAATATTCTTTAGCTATAAAAAGGAATGAAATTCTGATGTATATTACAACATGGATGACCAAGTGACATAAGCCAGACACAAAGGGCAAAGACTGTATGATTCCACTTATATGAGGTACCTGAAATAGGCAAATTCATAGAAATAGGAGGTAAAATAGAGGTCACCAAGGACTGGAGACGGGGGAAATGGGGAGTTACTATTTAAAGGTATCAGAATTTCTGTTTGGGATGATGAAAAAGTTCTGAAAATGGATAGCAGTGATGTTGCACAACAGTGCGAATATACTTAATGTCACTGAATTGTACAGTTAAAAATGGTTAAAATGGTAAATTTTATGTAAATTTTGTCATAATAAAAATGATATGAGTAAAAAAATGAAACTATAAAAGTACCAAAAACCCATACTGAATTAAAAGAAATAATCTGGGACTAAGTGATGCCCTTCTGAGTATGACATAAAACCAGCACCCACCCACAAAAGTAAAAGATTGATATATTTGAGTACATAAAAATAAAATTACTTAAAATACCAAAAGAAGCCTTCCATTGAACAAATTTAGTCAAACAGGGTAAAAGTATTTACAACACATAATAAAGGATTAGTTACTTTAATATGCAAATAAAACTTAGAAATTAATAAGAAAAAGAACATTCTTATAGAGGGGAGCCTGGGTGGCTCAGTCAGTTAAGTGTATGCCTTCAACTCAGGTCATGATCCAAGGGTCCTGTGATCGAACCCCACGTAGGGCTCTCTGCTCAGTGGGGAGTCTTCCTCTCCCTCTCCCTCTCCCTCCCTCTCCCTCTGCTTTTCCCCTGCCTTGCTCTCTCTCAAATATATAAATAAAATCTTTTTTAAAAAAGAACATTCTTATAGAACAATGGAAAAAGTAAAACTAGCATGTAAAATTCATAGAAAGAAGAAATATAAATGGTGAACAAACATTATGATGTTCAAGCTGAGAAATAAATAAGAAATGCAAATGAGAATAGTGATATAATAACTTTTTTGGCCATCAGTCTGCTAAGGAGTAACAAGAACAATAATACCTAGCATTTCTAAGGGTGTGAATGAAGTGGCACTCAACATACCTCAACACAATAAATGCCATATATAAAAAACCCATAGCTAACACCATCCTAAATTGGGAAAAATTGAGAACTTTCCCCCTAAGGTCAGGAATAAGATAAGGATGTCCACTCTCATCACTTTTAATCATTATAGTACTGGAAGTCCTAGTCACAGCAATCAGACAACAAAAAGGAATAAAAAGCATCCAAAATCAGTAAGGAAAAAGTAAAACACTCAGTATTCACAAACAACGTGATACTTTATATAGAAAACCCTAAAGACTCCACCAAAAAACTGCGAGAACTGATAAAAAAAATTCACTGAAGTCACAGGATACAAAACCAACATACAGGAATCTATTGCATTTCTATACAATACTTATAATGAAAACAGTAGAAAGAAATTAAGAAGACAACCCCATCACAACTGCACTCAAAATAATAACATACCTATGAATTAACCTCACCAAAGAGGTGAAAGACTTGTACCCTGAAAACTATATAACAGTGATGAAAGAAATTGAAGATGACATAAAGAAATGGAAAGACATTCCATACTCATGGACTGGAAGAACAAATATATTCAAAATGTCTATACTACCCAAAGCAATCTATATTAAATCTATAGATTTAATGCAATCCCTATCAAATACTAGCAGCTTTTTTCACAACTAGATGAAACAATCCTAAAATTTATATGGAACTTACAAAGACTCAGAATAGCCAAAGCAATTGGAAAAGCACAGCTGGAGGCATCACATCCTGGACTTCAAGTAATATTACAAAGCTGTAGTAATCAAAACAGTATGGTATTGGCATAAAAACAGGCACACAGATCAATGGAACAGAATAGAAAAACCAGAAACGAATCCACAACTATATGGTATGTTGATCTTCAAATAACAGGAAAGAATATCCAGTGGGAAAAAGACAGTCTCTTCAACAAATTGTGTTGGGAAAACTAGACAGCTACATGGAAAAGAATGAAACCAGACCACTTTCTTACACCATACACAAAAATAATATGGATTAAAGATCTAAATGTGAAACTTGAAATCATAAAAATCCTAGAAGAGAGCTCAGGCAGTAATGTGTCTGACATGGGCCATAGCAACATCTTCCTAGATATGTTTCCTACAGCAAGGGAAACAAAAATAAAAATAAACTATTAGGACTATGTAAAAATAAAAAGTTTCTGTACAGTGAAGGGAACAATCAACAAAACTCAAAGGCAACCTACAGAATGGGAGAAGATATTTGCAACTGAAATATTCAATAAAGGGTTAGTATCCAAAATATATAATGCACTTATACAACTCAACACCCAAAAACTAAATAATCCAATTTAAAAATGGGCAGAAGAAATGAACAGATATTTCTCCAAAGGAGAAGCCCAGATGGTCAAGAGACACATGACAATATGCTCAACATTGCTTATCATCAGGGAAATGCAAATTAAAACTACAATGAGATGTCACCTCACCCTGTTAGAATGGCTAATATCAACAACACAAGAAACAAGTGTTGATGAGGATGTGGAGAAAAAGAACCCTCTTGCACTGGTTGGTGAGATTGCAAACTGGTGCAGTGACTCTGGAAATCAGTATCGAGGTTTCTCAAAAAGTTAAAAACCGCCCTATGATTCAGCAACCGCACTACTGGGTATTTCCCCAAAGAATTTAAAAAAACACTAATTCAAAAGGATACATGCAACCCTATGTTTACTGCAGCATTATTTATAATAGCCAAATTATGGAAGTAGCCCAGGTGTGCATAGATAGGTATATGGATAAAGAAGCTGTGGTGTATATATGTACAATGGAATATTATTCAGCCATAAAAAAGAATGAACTCTTGCCATCTGCAACGAGGTGGATGGATCTAGAGAGTATAATGCTAAGTGAAATAAGTCAGAGAAAGACAAATACCACATGATTTCACTCATATGTGGAATTTAAGAAACAAAGTGAAGGAGCAAAGGAAAATAAAAGAGAGAAACAAGCCAAGAAATAGACTCCTAACTATTGAGAACAAACTGGTGGTTGCCAGAATGGGGGTTGGTAGAGGGATGGTTCAAATAGGCGATGGGGATTAAGGAGTGCACTTGTGATGAGCACTGGGTGATATATGGGATAGCTGAATCACTATCTTGTACACCTGAAATGAATATAACATTGTATGTTAGCTATATTGGAATTAAAAAAAAGACTCTGAGAGGGAGGAGAAATAGAATATATACTGTTATATGCAAAAATAATTTCTTAAAGGATTCAAAGAGTAATTACTGGTTATTTCTAGAGAGGGGATGAGTGAGTTGGCAGAAGGGGATGGACCTGCATAGGCAGGGAGGGGAACTTTACTCTTACACAATGACTTTGTGTACCATTTGAATTTTTGAACTGTGAACATATACAGCTTTTGTAATCAAAAAGAAACTAGGTTACACAAAATGTTTAAAAGATGACACCAAAGGTAGAAGCTACTGCAATTCATTATTCTGTACTTATTTTAATCTTCAGTTTGGAATTCTGGAAGGAACAGGAATGTTTCGAATCTGGCAGATCTGGCTTCAAATTTCAGCTGTTACCCATGCTGGTGAGTCTCTGATTTTTAATCAAACCATCTATAAATAGGGGATACTAATGCTTACCTTGCAAGGCTCTTATTAGGAGTAACTGTAATTTATGTAAAATGCCTAGGCACAATGCTTGGCACAGAGCTAAAGGGACACTATCATTATTATGAATAATGCTATGTCATGAAAAACATGACTTTTTCTATCTGAAACAAATCACCTTGGTTTTGATTACCACATCACTTTTCTAGTGATTCTTGCCCTTCATGTCTCAAATATTAATTGCTTTGGCAGAATGATACTATGTTTTTTCAGGTGACCATGTTAGTGACTTCTGAAGAACTGGCATGAGCAACTGGTAAGTAGCTGAGAATTTTGCCTTGGTATATGATACCAATAATAACATATACATATAATAGAAAAAATGTGATGGAAGTAGATGTTGTACACAGTAAGAAAATGAGTACACAGATATTTAAACTATATATTAGGGCACTAATTAAAAAATTTGGAATTTCTGGAAGTCTAAAGAGCTGCAATGTAGGAAGTAATCCTGTAAGTCAACTAATACATCTCTAAAATGAACTGTGGAAAAAATAAAAGATTCTTATAAAGTCAGATATTCAACTTCAGTTTGTAGTAATTATTACTGCCAAAAGTTACTTCATCATCAGGCACAGCTCATAAGACTTGTTTAAAAACAATATACCCTCAAGAGTTTCATCAACTTAGAAAGACCCACCACAAAATCCCATGATAATAAAGGCTGTCTTAAAAGCTCTCTTCAATGCAAAAACCTTCAAAGCTCAATGAAAACTGCTAGAAACTTTACTACCTGCTCAGGAAATAGAAACGACAACAGCAAGTGGATAATTATAATTGGATATATAATTTTATGGGAGTATAGAAATTATGTAGTAGCCTAAACAATTAGTTGGTTGAAGTGTTTCACTATTGGGATTGCATGAACTCCCAGCAGTCCTCAACGAATTTATTGCATAGCACTTGAATAACTAAACATTTATAAGAGAAACAACCATACTGTACCACAGCATGGAGGTATTAAAATTTCAGGCAATTGTAAGGTGAAAGAACAAATCATCTCGCCTGAGTTAAAAGGAGAGAAGAGTTGAATTGGCACTGCTCCATGTGCATACCACTTAATTTAATGAATACTCAGATTTAGAAATGTATTCTAAGAGAACATTCTTAATGTCTACCTGGAACAAAAATCATTAATTTGTCCAATTTTATTTGTGCTCGCTTCGGCAGCACATATTCCAATTTTATTAAAAAATATATTCTCATTTATAAGTCTTGGGGTACATTTACCAAATAACCCTTTAAATTATATTGAATGTTAAGGCTAGAACTATTTATATAATAACATCTTAAGATTAGAACTGTTTACAATATTAATTTTATCTTCTGAGTGAAAGGAATACTGAGATTGTGTTACCTGCAAGTGCTCTTGGACCTGGCAATCTGTCATTGCCAGCTCCATCCTGCGGATAGACACAGCTGTAATTCATGCAGGTCAATAATGTGTCGATTTGAGATGTTCGGAGATCTTCTGGACAATACATGGGCAGGAATGCAACATCAATTGCGATCTCATGGTTCAGACCTGTATAGAAAAACCACACTTTGTTGAAAGTGGGTTAATACATGAAGTTAATGAGGCCTGGTTTGCTGGTTTGATCCTGAAATGTGCCAAACAGCCTCACACATATAAATGTACCATTTCAGAGACAGGAACTAAACCCTTTGCTGTGCAAAACTTTATGAATACATGCAGCTGGTTGAAAGAGGAGACACTTGAGCAGTCTATCACCACTGCTGGATATAACAATCCAAAATATTTTACCAAAAACCAAAACTGAAAAAAACAAAACAAAACATAAAACCCACAAAAATCACACACACAAAAAAAACCCAAAATGTTTTACCTACTGGTAGAAGGTTTAAATTTTAATATCCAGAGGATGGCCTGGTCACATAAATGAAGACATGTAGAACTTTTTCTTGGTCATTATGTCAGGGACCATTACAGGACAGAATAATTCAGAGAGGACTATTGGTTCCCTTATTATCATTTGAACTTAAGGATTTATGACTCAAGCAAAGCCAGGGATGGTAGTAACAAGGTCCCAATTGTCCTTAATTATACAATAAAAACTTCATTTACTCACCATTAGGGCTATAAAAGGTTGCAGTAGAAAAAGGGCTATGGGGGAACTATCAAAGTAGAGTACTGACCTGTGACTGTCATCTCTTTGCATGGGTCAATGTCAACTAGGGTGGATAAAAAAGACTTTTTAGGGGCACCTGGGTGGCTTAGTTACTTAAGTGTCCAACTGTTGATTTCATCTCAGGTCATGATCTCAGGGACCTGGAATCGAGTCCTGAATTGGACTCTGCACTCTGCAGGGAGTCAAGCCTGAGGATTTGCATCCTCTCCCTCTGCCTTTTCCTGTGCTTGCATACTCTCTAAGATAAGTAAATAAATCTTAAAAAAAAGACATTTTAGAGGCAAGGCTTTGAGTTGGGTATTAAAGGATGAACAGCATTTAAATAAACAGAGAGAGAAGGTATTTTAGGTGGGGCAGGGAATAGCCAAAACTATAGATCAGAGTAAGGAGACCATTTTGAGTGGAAGAAGGGTAAACACACAGAACACAACTTGAAAACCCTATGAATTCTACCCAGTCACCCAAAACAGAAACCTGGAAGTTATATTTAATTCCTTCTTTTTGTTCTTCCCTGACATGTAGCCACCAAGCGTCACAGATTCTATGACCTTAATAGCTCCTCTACTCATTGGGACAGCAAATCTTTACTGTGCATGGGTCAGTGATAGGTAAACAAACTCCTTCCTGTTAAGCTGTAAGCGGATCCAGAAATGCAAGTCCATTCTTTGCTTTTTATGGGCAAGTGACACTAAAATTCCACAGCTTTAATTTAACATACAATTAAGGGCTACTTAAAGGTTTTAAGGATTACTAAAATTTGGTATTCATCAACTATAATAGTCACGATATCTAGAATTTACTGAGGATTTCAATCTGGTATGAGAAGTATAACCACAATTGTATAAAGAAAAAAAAAGAAGTATAACCACCTCATAACTCTTAGCTATGTTGGAAAATGCACGTGGAGTGCGCATGCTGGTATGTGATTTCCTTAATTCTAAGATCAAATCTAACTCTAAGATATACCATCAACTGAATAACAGTTTTAATAAAAAGGAAACTGCATTAAATGTGCCCATTGACTGTAAGATGCATTCCAACTAGCAAATGTAAAAAAAAAAAAAAAGAAAAGAAAAAGAAAGAATGCTTAGAATTGAGAAAATACCAGAAGGTGTAAATCCTGATATTCTCAGGAAGTTAGTTTGATTATCAGTGAGTCATTGATACTATTTTGAGTTATTTTCTAAATTATAAAATATTGTGAGGTTAGCTTCATCATTACTCACGAAATCTGTCATGAGTTCTTTGGTTAAAACTAGAGTTCAGGGTACAAATGTATAAGTAAACAGCCCTCAGGGCCTCCATACTTGCTGTTTCTGTGCCTACAATGTTCTTTCCTCAGATAACCAAATGGTTCCTTCACCCCCCTCAGGATTCTGGTGAAATGCTGCTTTTTCTGGGAGACCTCCACTCTATTAAAATGTAATCCTTTTCAGGGTGTCTGTGTGACTCAGTCGGTTAAGCCTCTGACTCCTAATTTCAGTTCAGGTCATGATCTCAGGCATGAGATTGTACCCCACACTGGGCTCTGTGCTGGGCATGGAGCCTGCTTGAGATTCTTTCTCCTCCTCTCCTTCTGCCCCTTCCCCCCTTAAAAAAAGATAAAACGTAATTCTTTTCTTTTTTTAAGATTTTATTTATTTATTCATGAGAGACACAGAGAGAGGCAGAAGGAGAGGCAGAGGGAGAGGCAGGCTCCCTGCAGGGACCCTGATGTGGGACTCAATCCAGATCAGGACCCTGGGGTTACGACCTGAGTCACCCAGGCATCCCTAATCCTTTTCTACTACATTATTTTCCAACCTCTTTCTTCTAGAACTTATCGTTATTTCTTTTATCAGCAAGCTCTCTCTCTCTCTCTCTCTCTCTCTCTCTCTAGCAAGCTCTCTTACTTGTTGTGTTCACTCATATAACCTCGTAACCTCAGGACCTAGAACAGTGCCGGGCACATTAGGTGCTCAGTAAATATTTGTTAAATTGAGCAAATGAAAGTATGTTTGTGCATTCTTTACCTGTAATTTTCAAATACTAGACTTTAAGACATTTATGCATTAAGTGTTCAAATATGAATTCATCTGTATTCCTGTTACCAAAGGAGATGAACATAAACATCCTCCCCACCATGTGCATACATATATATTTCAGTGGTGACTTACTGTTGATGAGTTACTTTAGTAAGTAACTTATACCTTACTATCTATCTAGGTAAATGTGATCATATATCTGGACTCATTCAAAATTATAGGAAAATATAAAATCAAACAAGTAAGCTCGTATTACTCTTTTGTAATGTGTATTATATGCAATTTATATATCTTCTTCCTCAACTCTTTGTGATTACTGAATTTTTTTCCACTAAAAAGTGTGAAAGTTAGTGTATGTGTTTGCATTGGAAGGGAGGCATATAATCCTGGCACCTAGCATAATGCATTGCATATGCCGTATTTTTCTAAATCTAAGATGCCATTGAGAAAAATACTACCAACTGAAGAAAAGCATGACTTCAATTGTAAGATGCAGACTGATTTTCAAAGATGTTAAAATATGCGGGAAAAGGGTGTCTTATGATGATGAAATCTGATAGTAGATACTTCAGGTTTTATGATTAAATTACAATTACTTTCATTATGCTATGAAATAAGGGACAGAATTAAGGTGTGGCAATAGCAATCTAGCTCTGGAACCCATATAATCCAGTGTACTGCTCTACTGAGATACGAGGTGGAGAAGCATCTTGGTGGGATAGGATATCCTAAGGACGTAGCTGGTGAGGGAACCAACAGTGGAAAAACTGCTACTCAGTCAATGGATCGAATAGGCTTCAACAAGGAAGGAGGCATATCTTATGGGTACAAATAATTGGTTCTGAGCCTGCAGGCTAGTACCAAGGAGGGGAGGAGTTATGTTGGCCTGTTTGGTTGCTTTAAAAAGGAGAAAAAAGTCAAGGTAAGTAAATCCTTATTATTTCAATATAAATACAGCACATTAAATTGCTTTGATGCTACAATTAATGCTATTAAAAATTTAAATTATAATTTAAATGCATATTGCAAAAAAGAAAAAGAACAAGCCATATAAAAATTGGGGGTCTCTCTCTCTTTTGAATTCTAAGAGACAAAGTGGATGACCTTCAGAAGTTTACAAAAGGCTGGCTGAATTATGATCCTAATTGCCTAAGTCAAATGCAAATTGAAGAGAGGACTTCTTTTTATTTTTGTGTATATTTTTTTATTGGAGTTCGATTTGCCAACATATAACACCCGGTGCTCATCCTGTCAAGTGACCCCCTCAGTACCTGTCACCCAGTCACCCCATCCCTCGGCCCACCTCCTCTTCCACTACCCTTTGTTCGTTTCCCAGAGTTAGGAGTCTCTCATGTTCTGTCGCCCTCGAAGAGAGGACTCCTAAGCTTTGATTGACTCACAGCATTTCATGGGTAACTAAATCAGTGTTAATTGGGCCAATGATATACTAATACCATCTAGAAGTTCAATCTAGGTTTTGAAAACTTTTCTTATATTTAAAGGAGGAATAATTCTTAAAATTGGGAGAGACAGAACCAATAGATTTTGTAACTGGGCCTAAAGGTACTGAAAATTTAGTTTGTTACTTCATTCCAGTATCTTCTTTGTGAAATGTGTGTTATTTCATTATAAGCAATGGACTGAGGTTTTAGCACTTACTAAAAATATCTATTTATTTGAAGCAAGTGAGATGCGTAGCAAGGATTTTAATATAAGAATCAGCATTTCTGGAATAGGTTTCTGATGTTGCAACAGTACCCAACTGGTTTTTGGGAGCCATTAGAACTGTAAGAAGGAAGATTAATAATTCAATGTTTTCAATAATGATTCACCCTAGACCAGTCAGATAATGATTATAACAAGGTTGTGGTGTGAATAACATTTCTGGCTTCCAGAATGAGACACTTCAAAATTACTGGGTCCTCTAGAGATCAGCAAGATATTGTAGAGAGATAATCAATTACTGGAAGATAGTATCAATGTAGGTGGACAATCTTCATGTTGGAAGAATTTTAAATATCATATTGATTTATCTGCCTGGATTGGTTTAGCTAGTTTTATCTAAAAACAGAGGTCTAGGACAGGGGTCAGCATTTATGACCTGGGGGTCAAATCTAGCTTGTACCTGGTTTTAAACAACCCCTGAAGTAAGAATGTTTTTTTTTACATCTTAAATCTTTGAAAAAAATCAGAAGCATATTTTGTGACCTGTGAAAATTATAAGCAATTCAAATTTCAGTGTCTTTTATTTTTTTATTTTTTTCAGTGTCTTTTAAATAAAGTTTTATCCAAACAGAGCCATACACATTCATTTATATATTGTCTATGGCTGTTTTCACACAAAAACAGTAGAAATACCAGTTGGGACAGATACTGTATGGCCTGCAAAGCCTCAAACATCTACTACTTGGCCCTTACAGAATAAGTGTACCCCCTTATATAGAACACACATAAGGTTGTCTTTTGGTTTTAAGATTATATCTTTTAACAAATAGTACATTATTAGGAGATGTAATGGTCTTTTTTGAGTTCATTGCTCATGCCTTGCTTACAATGGCTAGGCCATTTGTCTGATCTCATAATACAATTTACATTTCATACTTTCACAAAAGGTATAAGTTCACTACTTTCACATTTGATATTTACCACTTATTTATTTATTTTAAATTTTATTTATTTATTCATGAGCGACAGAGAGAGAGAGAGAGAGAGAGAGAGAGAGAGAGAGAGGCAGAGACACAGGCAGAGGGAGAATCAGGCTCCATGCAGGGAGCCTGACATGGGACTCAATCCTGGGATTCCAGGATCACGCCCCAGTCGGAAGGCAGGTGCTAAACCGCTGCACCACGGGGGCTGCCCTATTTACCACTCATTTTAATCAAAATCTGAGAATATCTATACTTCGAGTCCTATTAAGAGAGTAGTATTTCTTAATCTTAATTCTACTCCTACATACCTGGCAAGCAGGACACATTCCTTGTCATTGGTTCTTGTCTAGCAATAAGTCTCCCTTAGAAAGTTAAGGGACACTGAATAGGCTGCTTCTCTGGAGTATACCAGAATTTTAAGGAGTGTGGCAAGATCTCCCTCAAGTGATTTTGATAGGCTACTCCCTCCCATCAAGGTTCTATAAGAATCAATGGATCAGCACTAGGTATTGTATGTAAGTGATGAATTGCTTAATTCTACTCCTGAAACTAATTATTACACTATATGTCACGTAACTAGAATTTAAATAAAAACCTGAAATAGAAAAAAAAGAATCAATGGATCAGTACCATTTATTTTAGTTCTCTAGAGTTCATTTGTATATTAAGTTAAACCATTAGAGAGCTAAATACTTGGATTATGTGATAATTAAGGTGAAAATATACTCCTTTACAGAAATATGTTACCAAGATTTGACTAATTATTATACTGATTGTATAAGTTTGATGCAAGAATCAATTATCTGAAGAGCATTTCCATATCGTTAAAAAAGAAAACTATAGTTGAAGATACCAACCCACTGTTATTCTATGCTACTTGCACAATAGTTTCATATGGTAAAATCAGATTTGAGTTTTGATAAAGGAAAAAATAAAAGGCTTCCTATATATGAATGTTTGTTTTCTCTGCAATAGAAGATATGTCTAGAGACTCAAGAGACATGATTTCTAATCATGGCCTGGGTTCTACCTAGCCAGGGTGTAGGAATAGATGATATCCAAACTTCTTTTAACTTTAAAATTAAATACCTCATCAGGAAAAAAGTCCCCTTCTTTCTTTCTGACAGAAAGTTCACCAAAAATTACAGCCAAATGGTAACTAGTTATTTGTAAGTACCTATTAACACATACTTTTTGTTTCCTTGTAAATGTTCTGTTTTGTTTTATCCATCTGTGGCTTAGTTTTCACTGTTTTTATCCCTGTAAACCATCTTAAGTCTTTGAAAATAGGACATAAAACAGCATAATTCTAATGTGCACCAGAGCTGGTTGGGCAGAATGACATATTTGCCCTCTTCACATTTGATTCTTGCTTTTAAGTGATATAAAGAGACCAAGTAATGCAGTCTAGTAAAAGAAGCATTTGAAACTTAGGTCTGACATGTCTAACAGTCCGTTGAAATTCAGTTTTCATAGATTGTATACATACACACAATCACACATATATACATACTTATGTGTGAGGAGGCAAGGAAGAGGGAGTGGGAGAGAGTAAAAAGGAAGAGGGTATCCTGATAAAGGTCAACATAATTCATTCCAGTACTGTAGATGTAAAAATCTATGAAATGAATTGTCTTTCATAGAAATTTTTTTTCATAGAAAATTATGAATTTCTTTCATAAATTAATTTGCTTATGACTTTTCCTCATTCTTTTAATTTCAGGTAACAAGACCTTTCTTTTAGACATAAATACAAATAATTTTCCTTATTTTGGCTAAGATTTTCTTTTAGAATTAATTTTTTGTGTACTTTTCATTCATTGGAAACAAATATAAAATTAAATACAAGTTTAAAAAATGTGTTGACTTTCCTTAAGTTTGTATTTAAATTCCAGTTAGTGCACATACAGTGTGTTGTTAGTTTCAGGTGCACAATATAGTGATTTGGCACTTCCATATAACATCGGGTGGCTCATCGCAGCAAGTGCCCTCTTTCATCCCCATTACCTATTTAAACCAGCCCCCTACCCATCTCCCCTCTGGTGACCATCAGGTTGTTCTCTTTAAAAAATGTGCTGACTTTTAAATTTCTGTAAGTCCTATAGACACTTCTCAGTTTTGAACAACCCAAGAAAATCAGTTTACTTTCCCTTGCAGACCAGGGAAGTTTTTTATCTTCTTTCTGTTACAACCTTAGTTGAGAATTTTATTTTTTTAGAGGCTAAACAGACTTCTGTTCATAGGAGCTTCTCTTGTTTAGTATCCCTTTTCTCTTTAACCCACATTTTACCTCTCAACAGTTCAGGTGCACTGAGAAAGAGGCAGAAAACATGAGCAAAAAAGTGGTGCCTAAAGAAATACAAAATCAATTTTAGAAGTAGTCATGTGGTCAGGGGTAAGGAAAGTTACCCTGGTTCCCATTCTTCTTGGCCCAAAAACTTTTCCAGGACTTGCCGATGTTAAAAGCCCACAGAGCTTAATGTATTCCAGAACTACTGCTCCATTTCTCGATTGGCTTGAGCTAAATAAATATATTTTTTGGGGGTGGGGAGCTTAATTTTTTCAAGCAAAATAGTATCATATATATATAAAATATATTAAATTAATAATATTCAAAGAAAAGAACACTTCACTTACCTAGGATGGTCACTTCAAAATGCCCAAGGCTTCGGGCGCTCTTAAAGTCATCAAGTTTTGGGGGCCTTCCCTCCGGTGGTATGTATTTTGCAGGCTGAGAATTAAACTGCTCAGTAAGAAACTTTCTCTGCTCAAAAATAAACTTCCGTGGGATACTTTCAGGATAAACATGGCTGTAATGCAGGTGATCTATTAAGCCAAACTTTTTCTCTCTCCATAGCTGGCTTTCCCACCTATCGCTTATAGTTTTTCTGGCTTTCCCTATGGTACTAGTGCTTGTGCTTTCTCGACCTGTTAAAGACACAATGAGACACAATGAGGACCTGTAAACTAACCAAATCAAGTCATTCAGTACAAAAAAAAATAAGCACAGATTAATGAGGAATAGTTTAACTTTAAAAATCAAATGACCACATATAAAATGTAAATTGAATGTCCAAGAACATGAGAGACACCTAACTCTGGGAAACGAACAAGGGGTGGTGGAAAGGGAGGTGGGTGAGGGGTTGGGGTGACTGGGTGACGGGCGCTGAGGGGGGCACTTGACGGGATGAGCACTGGGTGTTATGCTATATGTTGGCAAACTGAACTCCAATAAAAAAAACTAAATATCATTAATTACATGCATTCAATGTAATTAGACTTAAATACTCCAGTGGGAAAATTTAGCCTGAAAAATAATGGTATATTGACGTCAAACAAATTATGATAAATATAATTACACAGAAAGATAAAAAGTAATAGGATGGAAAAAGACGCAATATTCAAACATAAACAAAAGGTATAGCTATACTAATATCAGGCAAAGTTTACAATAAAGCAGGAATATTCTTAGAGATAAAAAGAGACTTTTTAGGGATTTTATTTATTTCTTCATGAGACACAGTGACAGAGAGAGAGGCGGAGACATAGACAGAGGGGGAGGCAGGCTCCTCACAGAGAGCCCAATGCAGGATTCAATCCCAGACTTGGGATCACGCCCTGAGCCTAAGGCAGATGCTCAACCACTGAGCCACCCAGGCGTCCCAAAAAGAGGCATTTTTTTAATGTTACAAGAGATAACCAGGAAGTTATAGAAGCTCTAAAATTCTATACTGACAGTCCTCACTTTATATGCACAAGTTCCCATATGCACAAATGTCAATTATCATAATTTAGTTATAGAACACCAGAGTCCCAATGATATGATCTAAATTTCAGTTAGCACAATATATTAATTGTAAGTGCAGGAAGTGAAAACTTCACTAATAGTCTTTCAATCCACAAATCACTATGATCAGTGACCAATCAGTTCTTTCAAAGTCATGGTGTATCTGTTACTCAGTTCATGCAGAGATGAAAAAGTGTGTAGTTGTGTTGCCTCTTTGCTTCTCAGCAATAAACCTACATGACATTTTACAAAAATGGATCATTGAGAGGGGGAATTGGCTAAAAAGGATGAAAGTGTCAAAAAGAAACAAAGTGATAACGTTGGAGGAGAAATGTGAATTAAGGATAAATAGAATTCTAGAAGAAAAAGCTGATGGTGGGAATTCCAATCCTGCTGCCAATTTGAGGGACTTTATATATGCAGCCAAAGGAACCTACTGAAAGTGAAATTATCAACATAAATGAGAAAAGTGGTGTGACAAATAGGATGAAGATGTCCTGGAGGAAGTGATGCCAAGAAAAAAATTCACATTAAGAGAACTCTCAGAGATATTTCATAACATTGAAAGTGCAAAGGATAAAATGTTGGAAGCTGATCCAAACTTAGAAAGGAATATGACAATTCACAAAGGCAAAGGCATAGAAAAACGACTTGCTTCGTAATGTAAGTAATGTGATGAAAAAAAAAAAAAGGCAAATGCTGTTCAAACTACCGTTGGTAACATTTTTACAATGAAAGGAAAAACTTTAATTCTCTATGTTTCTAATGTTTTATATTATAATGAACTAAATAAATATCAGTTTACTATTTGCAAAAAAATGAACTCCAATAAAAAAATAATTTAAAAAGTAAATTGAATGTCCAAAAGGTAATTCTTATTGAAGTGAAGAGAGGACTACATTCATTTTCAAAATAAGCTTTTCCTCTAAAATATTAAAAATAGATATTATTTTTCTGTGAAGATTTGTAATTACCTTCCTTATTCTTTTTTTCTGTATTTTCTAAACACCCTTAAATAAACATATATTCCTTTTATATTCAGTGACAAATTCAAGTTAATTCAAATTCATAATTGTTAGACATGGGACCACCTCTCACCATTGGTGGAATTTAAGCTTCTGATAAAATTTTGTTAATCTTCGCTAAAAGTAGCCTGAACAGATACAAAATACAGTCTATTTCATTGATATAACTCTCCTTCAAGAAGACCTCTTCAATTTTTGTTTTTCATTTTTCTTTAAAGATTATTTATTTATTTATCCATGAGAGACAGAGAGAGAGAGAGGCAGAGACTCAGGCAGAGGGAGAAGCAGGCTCCATGCAGGGAGCCTGATGTGGGACTCGATTCTGGGATCACGCCCTGGGCCAAAGGCAGGCACTAAACCGCTGAGCCACCCAGGAATCCCCCCTCTTCAATTTTTGATTACTTTTTTATCATCAAGTCAATTTATCACTTATGTACAGTTTATCTAACACATTTATTTTCTGAGGCAGAATATAATTTCTTCCCTACACATTATGACATTTATTCATTCAGCAAATAATTACTGAACACTTGTTATATATATTCCAGATACTGTGCTAAGGAATTTGGTAAAATAATATTTTAATTGAATAATATGCCCTGAGAACTGAAGACACATGGCAGAATCAGAAAAAAATAGATTTTGGAACAAGACTCTCATGTTGTCAGTTCTGCTAGCTGAGACAAACTGACAGCACCTCTGTTTCAGAGTTTACCAAGGTTGCTGAATTGTTTCCTTGCACGTGGTATATGCCTTGGTGTTTATTATTATCCTAGCATTAAAAAAACTTTGCTAAGACTGAAGGGGATTTCAACAGCAAAGATTCAATGTGGTTAATATACCACTCCTGCTTTTGAAACATACCTTATTCCCAGACTACTTTCTTAGTTTTTTAAACCTAGCCAGAAACTTACTAAAAATTTCTTATGGGGTAAAGTACTAGACTGAGTTGTAAGAGATGATGAAGTTGAATATATACTTCTTACTCACCAAAAATTCAAAATAATGCAATATTACAAAAGAGTTTAGTTCAAAATTCAGTTGATGAACACACTTAAATTCTATGATAATGCTTGATAACAAAAAGAATAAGAAATGTGATGACACATGAAAAAGAATGGTATCAATCAGAGCCAAGAGGAAAACTCAGTTAATAGTATTAAACTGAGAACTGTAGAATGATTTAATCTTTTTTATCTTTTTTCCCCTTTTTTTATCTTCTAAAACAAATCTCCTTTCCCAAAACTAGTAAAAGTACTTAATTAGAACAAGTAGCTCTTACAATGACTCAAGTTATAGTGAACATTCCTGACTTACTTGTTCTAAAAGAACATGCAAAGGAAAGTTATAAGCTATTCCAGTTTTTTAAAAACTAAATTATTATACCTACCTTACAGGAAAAAACTTCTATGACTGGCCCTGTCAGGAATAAGTCAGAATATCTGCTATGCTTTGAGTGTTCTTAGCAAGGACTGGCAAGGTACAAATGTTTATTTGAAAAATTCCTCTGAAAATACCCTGATTACATGTTCACAGTTACTACAAATGGGCATGAATTCAATACAAGAGATACTGTCAGTCATTGTTAGTGAACAACAAGATTTCAAAGGCAATAATTAGGAGACATATATACATCTAGAGTTTAGGTTTTTCTAAAAATATGATGGAAAATTATGAACTGGAATTCTTTTATTTTTAGTTGAATACTACTAAAATTATAATATAAGACACATTATGTTTTTAAGCCTAATGCACAACAAAGATACAGGTTAATTACCTAGCAAAATTATGGGCTTGTTGGTATGTATAGATGCACATACATATATATGATTACATAATTATAATAACTTATTTTAATGATTCATTTTACCCAATTTCTGGTGAGAAGAGACATGTTTAGTGGGGAAAATCTTCAGTAGAAGACCACATTAAGGTTATGAGGTAAAAAAAACATATAAATGTATGTATGTAGGAATGGTGATTTTGTTTCTTCACAAAATCTACTCTGAGAATTTTGTTATATGGATAAAAGTGATGGTCAGGGATGTATGGAAGCATTTGGGAGGGTGAGGAGTTATTTTCTTTGCCTCTTCCTCCTCTTGCATCCACTAACTCCATCTTGGTGCAAGATCTACAAGGCTAAAAAAGAACAGGGTATTTTTCACTCAGTAGCAAGTATAAAATACAGTTTTAAAAAAAGTGTGTAAGTCAGAGGCTACCTGTAATGTTTTGTGATCTCAACAATATTGTTACTGTCATACTCAACAGTGAAAAACTGAAAGCATTTTCTCTAAGATCAGGAATAAGACAAAGATATCCTCTGTCATCACTGTTCTTCAATAGAGTATTGGGAGTTCTAACCATAGCAATAAGGCAAGAAAATAAAAAGCATATATATATATGTAAAGTCATATATATATGACTTTATATATATTCCTAAAAAACACCTTTTACACTAAAAACACCTTTTACAACTAAAAAACAAATTCAGTAAAGATGCAGTATACAAAATCAATATACAGAAATGTGTGTTATTTCTATACACTAATAACTATCAGAAAGAGAATTTAAGAAAGCAATCCCATTTACAACTGTACTAAAAAGAATAAAATACCAAACATAAATTTAACCAAGGCTGTGAAAGAACTGTACTATTAGACACTGATGAAAGCAACTGAAGATGACACAAACAAAGGGAAAGATATTCTGTGTTCATGGACTAGAAAAATTAATATTGTTAAAATGTCCATACTACTCAAAGCAATCTACAGATTCAGTGCAATCTCCATCCAAATCCCAATGGAATTTTCCACAGAACTAGAACAAGTAATTCTAAAATCTGTATGGAACCACTAAAGACCTCAAACAGCCAGGGCAACCTTTAGAAAGAATAACAAAGTTAGAGATATCATACAGGCAGATTTCTAAATATACTGCAAAGCTATATAGTAATGTAAGCAGTATGATACTGGCATAAAAACAGGCCCACAGATCAATGGAATAGAACTGAGAGCCCAGAAAGAAACTCACACATATATGGACAATTCTTTTATGACAAAGACGCTGAGAACACACAATGGAGAAAGGACAGTTGTTCAATAAATGGTGCTGAGAAA